GGGAGGGGAATAGCAGCTTTTGTGTTCCTTTCGGTTCAGGTTTCACCTTCCCATCTAGGCGGTTTCGTGACTAAGCAGGCCTTTGGGCTCGAACGAATATAAACGAACACTGAAAGCGAATAGCAATACTTTGTCAGTAGTGCTGTTACTGAACGCACAGTTTCTTTCTCGATTATTTCAAAACAACCACGGCTCCAAAACAACCCGCGTTACTTGACACCCAGAGAGGGGCACTTCTTCGAACCAAATCCGAACAGCGCGTTCGCACGTCGTAACCGACATGGTCGTGGCTGTGGCTTTCTTGGAGACCCTCTGGGGCCATTCTCCGTATCGTGTTCTCGCGGAGGACGCCGTAAGTTAAGCTCGACATCCTGTGTCACTTGCGCTTTCGACCTTTTTTTTTACTGCAAAAGATACAAGCGTTGTACTACGTCTTCTAACGGTTTGGCATTCCTCCCAACTGGACCAATGTACCTAACCCCATTTGTGCGAGGTGTATAATGCTTAATTGTTCCTTGCTGTTTTTAGAGCGCAGCTCTTAGGCGCCCGTTACCGGCTTGAGCGTCGACGCTGTCGCCGTCGGCGTATCCGCGCGGTGCTAATTGGGACGCGTGACGTCACTGATGACGTCATCAGTGACGTCATCAGCATCGCCAGTGTCACTGATGACGTCACCAGTGACGTCATTGATGGCGTCATCTGCATCCGCATCGTCATCGTCCCCGAAGACGTCATTAGTGACGTCACTGATGAAGTCATCGGCAACCGCATCGTTGTCGTCATCGTCGCTGATGACGTCATCAGTGACATCACTGATGATGTCATCGGCATCCGCATCGACACTGATGACGTCATTGTCATCGTCACATGACCTCATAGGGGTCACGGGACCCCGTGAGCTCACGTGATCTCGGTGACGTTCTGTGACCCCGTGAGGTCACATGACCCTCATGAGACGACGGCGACGCCGCTCGGAGGGTGGAGTAGCAGACAGGATGAGGAGGTCAGGGGGAGGGAGGAAGGATATACCCTCCCCTTACTACCATTCTATTCCTCAGAGCTGCGCTCTAATCCGGAGTTACAGGCAGTTAGTTGTAAACGGTTTTAATCTTTTGTGTATCGCTTGAAGAAGGGCGTTTGCCGGAACCGTTGTGCATTGCTTCCCGTCCAGGTTCTTTGTTAGTGTAGCACAATCATATGACTTAGGCAACTCGGAAAGCCTCTAAAAGGAATCTAAACTTTTTCAATTTTTTTTTTGTAGTTTGTGTTATATCCTGCGTACTGTGTGGATTGAGTCGATCTGACCACAACGCCTGCAGCCTCAGCAAGCAAAACATTAAGATGCCGCTAGGCCGACTCCAACTTTTATATCGCCAACTTGGCACAAGCGCGTTCAAAATTTAACGAGGAAAAGACCCAGGTCAGCACAAAAAAGGAAGGCTGCAAAAAAGCTTTGATTTCTAAAGTTTCCTCCTATCTGGCCTCATCAGTTCACTTTTGCCATTTCGCTCCCATAACCTGAGTTCAACTTCCCCACTCCTTTGAATCCTCTCTACCTAGTCTCAACACTCTTTATTTCCTCGAGGTAAGCCCCACAAGTCCTAATGGCTTTACCTACTTCGGATCTTTTCCTGGACTTCGTTTCCAATACTTCCAGCTCTGCCACTAGGTCTAATAATCGTGGCCTTGTAATATGCTCAAAATCCAAAGTGTTTTCAATAAAGAAAGCAAACGTAAGAAAAATGTCTCAATTCAGTATTGGACTTTCCTGAAATCTGGTAAAAACTTAAATGTTACACTCGGGAATTCAGAAAAACAACCATTCACTCACCGACCGAAGTCGCAGACCACCCTCACCGCATATTTCACCGCTGCCAGCAGCTGTAACTTATCCTCGAAGGGAGCAAAATACTCCTCCTGACACGCGGCCTTATTCCGGCGACATCTTCCCAGGACGAGCATCCCCGGCTGGTTCGCATCTTATCGCGCTGCCACAGTATAGGTTACAGCGTTTGGCGCAGAGCAGCCGCAACCGCCGATCGCCAGGATTCAAAAGTACGACTTCCTCATCATTAGATACAGTGTTAGGAAACTAACCTAATATCGCGTCGCTCTGTGGCGAACTTTTTTAACCTTTGTGGAGGAAGGAAAATGTTTTCTTGTGATTTAAGATAACGCTCCAGATAAGGGGAACCCATGAGTTAAATCACCGAGATGGGTAAGTATCGTTACTGTGAAGTGTTGCTTACTTATACCTGTGTTACACGGGCACACTTGACCGTAGATAGCTCTCCTTAAAGGGGCAGTGCAACGATTTTCAAACTTTGGCCAGTTAAGTGCGGAAGTTAATCTGCGTCACCTATGGAACGAAAAACCGAAAGCCGCATTTTTTTGCGAGCTCTAGTTCTTATTTAAAAAAAATGAAACAAATCGAAGGTCGAGGTGCCTCTCAACTCTCCACGCCGACTTTCGAGTGACGTCTCTGGGGGTTCACGTGGTTTCCCCTTGGGCCCTCTCTTGAGACCCCAGCCGCTTCCTCCGCGATTGTGGACTTTCAAAGGATTAGCCTCGTCGAAGGTCGCGGCGAGCGATGGACACAAAGGACGGTTCTCTATGGGGCTGACAGCGAGTGTAGCAGCGGAGGGGGACAGGGTTTGTTGACTTCCGCGTATCCCCCAGAGACGCCGTCATTTTAGTTCCCGTAGCCGCCACCGGCGGCTGCAGATCGGCAAATAATTCGTTTTTTGCCTTGCAATTACGCAGCAGAATAGCCGTTTTTTTGGGAAAGGTGACGCGTTTTTGGTCACTTGGGCTTGTATGAACAATATAAAAAATGCAAACTGGCAATTCTTTCAACATTAAAACCGTTGCACTGCCCCTTTAAGCTGCTGTTACGCGTCACCACAGTTACGGAACGATACTCTCGGATAGCTATTTCAGAAGAGGTAAAGTGTGCGCACGAACAGATTTGATAGGTTATCAAGATGCTCAAGCGCACGTGCGCCCATTGCTTTAATTCCTTAGGAGCACTACGGTGTTTGCAAGCATAGTGTGGTAACTGTGGCTTAGCGAAACTGAAGTGTCCCAGTGTAAAAAAAGTATTAGTGGCTCTAGTTCGGATTAAAGTCACTGGATCCTGGGAAAGTAGCTCCATTGCCTTCCCTACCTGCTAGCCGACACAAACGGATACTAACATACAGACGACCCAAACCTAGCAAGGCGATTGGCTAATCGGTCTACGTTGCCATGGAAATCGCCATCTTGGTACATTTAAATCTTCGAAGCTTCCAGAGGGTCGTTCTAAACCAGTCGCGCCAAGATTACCATGGAGCATTATCGTACTGGAGGCGTTCCTCGCCAATATCTTTGGCACTCTGTATGCAATCAACTTATTATTCATGCACATCTCCATGGATCTCTTACAATTGTATTGTTCTTCTTGCGTATTTCAATACAGTAAACTTATTTTTCAGTGCCTCTAAGCACCGACACAGCATCTGGTGGTGGTACGAAGGTGTACGCCTGTTTCGCTGGTGTGTAATCACCGAAATCTCGGTATACAAAAAGACATTCCATAAAGCTACCCGTCACCCGCGAATCTAGATCGGCTTACCAAGAACGGAGGGGTCAAGGAGAAATTGCTCATTTCACGGACCAAGATGGCGACCACACGGGGAGCTTGGCGTTACTTTCCCAGGATCCAGTGACTTTAGTTCGGATCAGTGCTCACCACGTCTATGTTCGTTGACTCCGAAAGCGAGCAAAGCACGCGCCGTGCCTACAAGCGCCCCCCCCAAAAAAAAAACACGAAAAAACATTGCGGTTAGAAGCTTTTTTATACCTACTGCCGTGACTCACCCATAACCTGACGCTACTCATTACAGAGACTATACATTATTAGCAAATTTCAAGATAAGAAAATACGTCTTCAATGATTCGAATATGCCAATTTGGAGGCAGTCGAAAATCAGATTTTTGATTGGCTCGTGCCCCGTGCCGGCCATTGGCTCCTGCCAGTAGCAGCAAGCGCCGTGTGAACAAAATCGTCTAATCTTAGCATGGCCTAGCTGCGAAGGCTGGGCATGTGCGAGCGGGTAGCCTTGACTGGAGTACTCGCTGCACGAACTGACGCGCAGCCGCCGAGGCTTCAACGGAACCAACTATAGCTCGATTTTTTTTAACATACGCGGCTAACAATAGCTGAGGCTATGGTGAAACGAGGTATAGATCGGCAGCGAACAGCCCGTTGCCTTAGCCAATCATGAGCGCCCGGGCTGCGTGCGCAGCCGGGAGCAACTTGTTTCCTCCGGTAAAAACGTCTGCACATATTTATGAAGGAAAAGGCTACAGATAAATTAGATGTTTATCCCCCTTAATGTGGAACGAATTATACGCCCCGAAGTGCAAATCTTTATTATCAATTACAATTAAAAAAATATCCATGAAAAAAATTTGTTGAACTTAACTGATTTTTTTGAGCTGAGAGGGGCTAAGCCCAGATGCCGCCATTTTTTGTTTATTCCCCGATGTGATATATCTGGGGTGCCAGGCAAAGCTCCAGATGGCGACACTTATAGTTTCTTTGAAAGGAGAATCAGCTTTCGCCCGGCCGCCTCGGGGCTCTCAGATTCCCGGCTCCGAGTTTCTTTTTTTTTTTTTTCTTTTTTTTTACGTCATTTATTATGATTTGGTTTGGTGCACTGACTTAGTGTGGAGAAGTGTGGGACGAGGGAGAGGGGGTTGGTGAGGATGGTTCATTGAAGGAAAGGGCCGAGTGCGTGCTCCCCCCGGGCGAGAAGGCCGTATCAAGGGACCCCTCCGGAGGCCGGGAGCGTGTCCGCGCTGGGAGGGGTGGCATAAGAGTCTGGCCAGTCGCCAGCGGACTCCACGTGGACGAAGCACGCTCGTCTAGCGACCGAGGTGGACCAAGGTCGTCGTCGCTGCCACGAGCGGTTGCCAGTCCCCAGGTCGTCGTCTGGAGAACCGCGAGGAGAAGCGCAATGAGCCAGCTGCCCGTCCTTCTGTGGACGCTGCTCTCGAGCATGCGCGAGGATGTCTGCTATCTCCCGCCTGAGCTCCGGGCCGAGATCCGCGGCTACAGGCCGCTGGTCCAGAGCATCTTGTCCGAATTTGTCGCAGGTGCGGAAAGCGGCAGTACGTACGCAGACCTGGCCTACTTCGCCGACAAGTTCGGTCACAGGGTGGTTGGCTCCGCAAGTCTGGAAGACGCTATAGACCACCTGGTGAGCGTGCTCCGCCACGCCGGGCTGGACCATGTGGCGGCCGAGCCTGTCCACACGCCGGTGTGGTCTAGGGGCCCGGAGAAGGTGACCGTGGTGTCCCCGCGTGTCCTGGAGATGGACGTCCTGGGGCTCGGAGGCTCGGTGTCGACGCCACACGCGGGGATCACCGCCCGAGTCGTGGTCGTCGAGTCATTTGAAGAACTGGAAAGACGCGGCCACGAGGTCAGTGACGACTTGAGACGACTTAATCGTCGCGATATTTTACAATACAACATTTATTTGCATGTTATTATTCAGCTTAAATATTCATCCCATATGAACCTGTGCTCGCTTGTGCTTATGACTGACATATTCTTCTGTATTGTTATTAGACAAGTATGTAACTTGCATAAGGACGCACCATTTTCAAATAAACTGATTTTTTAGCGCCAGAAAAAAATAGAGTTAGTCTATTCTACTAATTCATTTAACGGCAGTAATGTACTATCGGGGAAAAATGAAATGCGAACAGAGGAGCGCGTGGCTCGCGGTACAGGCTGCGCCGCCTGGAAGTGAACCTAGAGGCGAGGGTGCGTGGCCTACTTCGATGTGTTCACGCCCTTGGATTGGCGCTCCCCCAGCTTCTGCAGTGCGCCTCTCAGTGCGCTGAAAGCTATCACCGCTATCTGTGCTGGCTCAGCGCGTGCGATGCAAAGAAGCTCGCCGCACTCGCCGAGCAGGCAAAGATAGCGGTGACAGCTTTCAGCGCACTGAGAGGCGCACTGCCGAAGCTGGGGGAGCGCCAATCGAAGGGCGTGAACACATCGAAGTAGGCCACGCACCCTCGCCTCTAGGTTCACTTCCAGGCGGCGCAGCCTGTACCGCGAGCCACGCGCTACTCTGTTCGCATTTCATTTTTCCCCGATAGTACAACATATGCTAGATTTTGGCACTGCATGCGTCACGTCGTTAAATACAGTTTAGATTATAGAAGCGAACCAGTGTTCGAAGGGTAGTTTTACTATGTTCAAGTATTCATGTTTTTTGACAGCTTCTTTTGTATTTTGCGGGATGATATTTTATTCTGTAATTCTTCGGGTAATTCATTAAAAATATGGGTTTATAATCATTCCTTATGGCCTCTCCATATTTGGTATAACAAAATGTTTCAAGAACTTTTCTATTTGATCTTAGCGTTCTTCAATTAGCAATTTCCACGTAATGTTTGTTGTTATTTCTTTAGATTATAATATAATATTTCATGTGGTCCCTAAAACTCAACAATGTAAGTTCTTTATGAATATAGTTTTGCAGAATAGTGTCTACAGTTAGCTAGCCCATGTTTTTTTATCCTTTTTTGGATCTAATCTATTTTAGTTGTATATATTTGACACAGTATCCGTAGCCTGTTATTCCACATTTAAACGAAGATTTCCCAGTAATGGTATATCATTCTTCGCATAGATCGTGGGACGCGATCTTGTATCTGATATACCTGCGTCATTAACGTCTTTAACTTTCTACATATTTGTTTTGCGTTAATAGTCCAGTTAATATATTTGTTCAAGTGCATCCCTAGGGATTGGAAATTATCTGAGTATTTCAGTGGAACACATGAGCAATTATGGCGATTCTGATTATGCATTTCTATATGCAGTGTAGTTAGGATTTTTTTCCCTTGTCGAGTCTTTGAAGCAGATTACTTGTATTTAGGAACGTTTACAATTATATATTTTTCGGTTCGATTGTGGTAATTTTTTTTAAATGTCTGCTTGTATCGTCTTTACAGCTACCTTTTAATTTGTGTACATATGCTACTTCTCCTTAGTAAGCAATTTAATATAACTTAATTTTTAATTTGACTTCAGCTTTCTCGTCAATGTAAAAATAAAAAAAAAGTATTGAACAGGGTTTCTGTGTCTTGCGATACCCGCTTCTTGACTTCGATTTATCTGCTATATTTTGGGTCTACTAGTTCTATATTATACCTGTCATTAAGATAATTCTGGAATAAGTTAGGCATCTTTCTCCGAATACGAATAGTTTGTTATCTATCTAGCAATGAATTATGACATATTGATTCAAGGGCCCTAGCAATGTTTTTTAATTAAGCTATATAAAATATTTACTTAAGTCGGTATTTTGTTTTACAGTCAAAATATGTTCTAACTGGCCACTGGTTCCTATATGATCCCTGAATCCGGAATGCGTGCTAGTTAATAGATTATATTTTCGAACATTGCTCCGATGATTTTAGTAATACATATTTTTTTTCAACATATATTTCATCACCGACAGTTTCCATATTTGTTGATAATTAGGTAGTTTACTTTTTTCGGATTTTTGTGTCTTGACCAATCAGGGGATACTTTCTTCTATCCCCTGCGATATTCGCAGGGGATACAACCGATATTCTCAAATTTCTTGGGAATATCGCTAATAGAAAAATCAATATTTGTGTAATTGTATTGGTGCTGATTTTAATATATTCATCTGGTAATTATTATATCTACCTCTTGTCTGGTCCAACACCACTCATTCATTTGTCTTAAAAGTTTTAACAATTTCAATCAAATCCCCGTCATTCATATCCGCGACAATATTAATTACTATTTCTTGTCTGATTGCTTCGTTTTTCTATTTTCATGTCCGGGTCACGGTGCCTTTCTTTGGATTGTTGGGTGCCATGCTTATAATCCATTTTTGGCACCAATTTAGAAAGTTACTAGCAATCGTAGCATTGACATTTTCTCTTTAGTACCGTAAACGACTGGGAATGATTTGGTTTGACAGTCAATAGCGTAGATGGCGAAATTTTACACTTCTTGCCTTTTTTGATGACTTTCAACTGGACGTGTCGTTTCCTTTCTTGTCTCTAATCGGTCATGGCAATCGAGGGCCATGACCGCTCACGTCTGCGCTGCGTGTTGTGCGCTAGCAAGTGTCCTTTCTTTGTGTGATTCACTTTTTAGTTCGATTTTCTTTTTAGAGTTTTAAATGATATATTATTGAAGACATCCCTCCCTGACATGAAACATATGGCACGAGTCGAGAGCGGCAGGAATCTTTTGAGGGTGCACATGTGAAGGTCCCAGAACATGATAGCATCCCAACAGACAAGGAACACGTCCTCCGCATACCCCGGCCTCTTGCACAGAAAAACCCTGGCCCCATAATAAAAAAAAAATTCGTTTTGCACTGAAAACACACAAAAAAGAAAATAAAAAACGAATGAGTCGTTAGTGTTTCATACAGCAAGAGTTCAGTCTGCCAGAACATGGCGACATTGTTACCCAGTTTAGATAAGCAATTTAGCTAGTGCAGTGCGACCGCTAGCCTTTAGTCTTTTAAAGTTGCACCACGTACTATTGATACACGACCGCACGCCGGTACGATGCTCGTTCAGATTGAAACGGGCAGGGGTGAGGATTAGACACAGGTTCCCTGGGTTTGGCAGCGCGAGCTTTCGCTTTATGTAGTCAGTGACTCTAGTATGCGCCATCAAGCTGGGTCACCGACCCCCCCCCCCCCCACACACACACACACAGTGCCAATGAAGTATTTTACGGCAGCATCGTAATGTGCAGTTAGAAACAAACAATAATGATTTTACAGATTCATGAAATACATTTTTATTCACGCGGTTCAACAGATAACACAAAAAAAGCGATACAGTGGAACGGGAAACAGGCTTCCAGCAAGGCCTAGTGAGCAACGCTTTCGTTTGACGGAGCTGATATATAATTACTCCTTTAAAAATCGCAAATAAGAAATTGGTATGCGCTAACATCCTCTCTGGGGAAGCCAGTTACTTTGCCACTTTCTAAACAACCATACTTTAACAAGAGTCCTGAGAAAAGGGTCAGCCTAGTCTCGTAAAAAGGGAAAAAAAAAGAACACGAAACAATGGTCCTATGAAAAAATGCGACGACGTCAACCAGGTATCACTGGGCGAAATAGGTTATTTCGTCTGTTTCTTTCCCACGTATACTTTCATATGTAGACAGTCATTGTACGGTGCATGCACAGCAAACGTACACGAGAGCAGTGCAGAACCTGTAGCAGGTACAAAGTATCCGCCATAACGAATAAATTACACACCGTTGCCCACGCGGAAAACAAAATCGTGGCCACCCCACTTTGAGGCTTTAACACTCATCTCCTCTATTTTGCTACGCCAAATCTCGTTGCTTTTATGGTAGTTGTTTTAATCTGCTCCTATTAATATAACAGGCTCTGAGGCCACTGAACACTTTGAAACGCACGCAAATTCACGTTCCAGCGTCCGTACCAGATCCCGGAACATTTCACTCAGTTCAATGCACAGGTCTTTTTGGGCGCAGAAGTTTCTATGCACTTGAACAGCTGCTGAGATGCCCTGTTGGTTGTTAAAAAAAAAAAAAAAAAAAAAAAAAACACATCATCATCTGCGTACACTGTTATTTTAAAATCGCATGAATAAAAAAAAAAAAAGAGAAAAAGAACAACAACAACAACTGGGAAGTGGTCGGTTATCACGAAAAAGTTTGATTGCGCGAACGTGCCCACGACTTCACAGCAACAAATCCTCCAAGAGCTCTGGCTCACGAGTCATTGCATAAGACCGGGGGCTGATCACCACGAGGTTTTGCCTTCTGGTACACCGAACAGCTACGAGCGTACGGAGCACATCGTGCTCCATGTCTGGCCAGGTAACAAACTGGAATAATTTTTCGTAAGTTTTGCTCCCACTGCTTTGTCCTGCCAAGGGATAGTCATGCATGTACCGAATAAAAAGCTTACTTAGCTTCTGGGGTTTCACGATCCGAAACGCAGAGCCATCCGGATCGTCGTCGGCCTGGGGACGTTAGCGCAGCAGGAGGTCGTCGTCGCTCATCAAGTAAGAGTCGAACTCCTTGTCACTTGGGCGGTCAATTGTATTTCTTGCTGCCAGCCAAGCGGATACGCGTTGGCAGACTTCGTCATCCAGCTGCGCCTTGTGAAGCTCCTCGCGGCTCCCCAGTGTACACCCACCGTGAATCTGGCGGGCCCTCGTGCCATGGCCGTGACGGTCACCAAGCCATGGGTATCCTGCGAGTGTTCCTTGAGAAGTGGAGCACTAGAGAGAGTATCAGCAACTTTTTTGGCCTACCCCCGGTAACACACAATAGGGTAGTCGTACTGTTGTAGCGTAAGCGCCCAACGAGCAAGACGTACAGCTGGATTCTTAAGTCCCCTTAGCATAGGCAGCGGCAAGTGATGAG